AAAAGTTTTGTTCAATCATGAATAGTAGTGCGAGTCGAAAACAAGCGTTAAAGCCTTTAATATGTCTTCAAATATAAATAAACATCTCGTTGATATTGTCAGTAGTAAATGGTACCAATAAAAGCACATTTGAGCAATGCAATTGTAGTGTATAAAATGGTCAATTTTTCCGTGTAGTACTGTACGGATTATACGCTCCTCACCGGTTAAAAGTTTGGCCGAGAGTTGTCTCCTTCCTTTTCTGGCCTAGTGCTGTTCTTTTCTACTTTGCGCCGGTCAAATGGAAGGTCACGTCGTTAGAGAAACTAAACGAAGTATAAAGACGCTTGTTTAAAAATATAATTCTAACCAGGCAGTTATAAAGCCGGCCCTGATTTTTTGGGTTTAAATACCTCTAATCGCTGCAGTGGAAACAAGAAAGAAAATACGTCCATTCTCGCAGATAAGTTATTTCGGATTGTGCCAATTTTGATCGTCTCAACTATAGAAATCATGCACCAACTTCAAAAGAAATATTAGTTGCGCCATTTGTAAATACAGTTTATCGTAATGTAAATTATATTAGGCAGGTGTATGTAGGTACCACAAAATTCATTATAAGTAATAGCCAGTATAGATTTTATAGATTATTAAAGACCAGTAGGCGATATTTATTATTACTGTGTTACGCACGCTTCAAAAAAAGTGCATAACCACATAAAACTTTAATCACTACAAACCGTAGTTTTGAAATCATTATTGTGACGACCTGTACTACAACTAGAATTTAAGGTTACAAAATGCATGAATACTTGCTTATAACGTACAAAATGGGCACAAAAATCGGTACATTTTATTAGGAATTCGTTAATAAAGATGTACGATTGTACATTTTTAATTTAAAGTAGGAAACCCATGGAGACCGCTGTGGATAATAAATAAATTGGAAGGGACTCACCCTTCTTGCTTACCACAAAATCTAAACACTGCAGACACGTGTTTCAGCAGCTTCTAATAATGTGGCAGGAATTATCAACGAGAGACTAATTCACATAGTCCGTCCCGAAATGTTTTAGTGTTAATTATTTTGGATCGCCTTTTTTAGTTTATTATTATTTTTTATCGTTAACAAAAACATAAGCGAAGCAAGGAAAATAGTTCAATATGTTTTGTTTTTGGAGTTTACAGCCAATTTCAACGATTTTTCTTGATATGGAAATTAGGAACCTATTTTTTTGCTTATAGGTATATAATAAAATAACAAGTATCTATTCTAACCACAATTAATGAGGTTAAAAATTGTAACTCATAGTATTTAAGGGTTATCTAAAATGCCGAATATAATTGAAATATTGACTAGTGCATGAAAAAATAAAAAAAAAAACTGTACCTTTTGTGTGGCTACTGACTGCGTTTTTACCTGACTTTGACTGCTTACTGATTATATTTTTGTGACTTCAAATTAAACCGGCATTTGGATAAAATGCTTAAAACGTTTTACAATTTCTTATGTCTTAAACTTTGAACCTATTAATAAGATTAATTTTATCATAGTGATTCATATACCTTCTTGTTACATAATTGTCATAACTTATAATTCCTTGTTTACAGCTAGAAATACAAAACAATATTAAATGTAAATAAATTGTTCTTAACTTATCTACAACCGAGTAACTTCACAACATGTAATTCTGATAGTGTGACTAGGGATTATTTGATTTGTTCTGAATTTATCATTTATTTCAGATACTATTTTAAATTTTGTTTATATCGGCTACAAACTCGATTACCTCTTTGGAGTTTTCCGAACAAACTGAAATTTGTAATTTCTTGTTTCAGGCTTCAAAAAAATGTTTTGCGGGAAGGCAGCCGATGGACTCGATAAAATAATGACGACGCCGTACAGTTAACGCACAAACAGTGGAAGGATCAAGTGACCGTGAGTGCCATGAACGATATGTCGCCAGTATAAATAGCCAGAACGGCCCACTATTTTTTTGTGGGGATAAAAAAGGGAACATCAACCAAACAATAATGTACTTTTTACAGTACGAAAATAGTGTAAGCAACATGCCCGGTTCGGTAGTGTTAATCAATGTAAACGATCGAAGTTGAACCTCGTGGTCGATTGTAAATAATAATAATATATTTATTGTTATTGATCGTGTATCTTGAAGGGAGGGTAAAATTTACGAAATATAAATATAATTGTGAATGTTAGTATTATTGTCACTATGTGTATTTAAATGTGCTGTTAAAAGTGTGAACGAAAGATGCCGGGATTGGTGGCGTTCCGGAGAAGATGGAGCGTCGGCTCCGATGATATGGTGGTGCCAGGAGTGTTCCTGTTCACTATGCATTTGATATGGTATGTAAATATATCCGTATTATACAATATCCAAGTACTTCTACAAAATTTTCTAAATAATTCGTACGTCCGAATAAAAAACGGAACCCGTATAAAATTGCTCGTGTGTCTGGCAGTCCGTCTGTCACAGTTAATTTGCTCAAAATCTACTGGACCTATTGAGTTGAAATTTAGTACATTTCTGTGACCCAAACACGGACGCTTTATGTAAATAAATTAATTTTGAACATTTTTCGGAGGCCAGTAGTAAAAAAAAAAGCGAAGCGGACGCATAGTATCGAAGGAATTTTATTTTGTCTCAGTGTAGATACTATAGGAGTTTAGCTTATCATTAGAGTTAAATCTTTATAAAAGTACCAGCAGCGAAACCCGGCGTTGTTCGGGTTAAAATACATCGCATGATTAATGATATATAAAATATTTATGGATCCACTTTTTAACGTAGATAATATACATTTCTATTCTATATGGATGTTGAGTGACTTGCCCCCGGTTTCCTGGGCGCTGATCAACGTTAACAGTTTGGTTAAACTGATTAGAGCCAATCATGTTCCGTCTTATTCAAAATAGGGGCATGTGATAGGTTAAATTCAGTTGAATCAGAATATTCAAGATTATTCTTAACAAAGATAGCTTGTCCTTTATTTTTTAATGTTTTCGATCGTTCTAGAATGTTGCAGAACATAAAATTATTCCCGATAATGACAGATCACCCTGTACCTTTATAAAATTTCTTAATAATAGTAGATCGTTCTAATGTATTCTAGAATATTTGGACAAAATCTAGAAAATACTAGAAATCCTTGGTAATTAATTGCGGACATTTGGAACTTTCCAGATCATTCTAGATATTTCTAGAACTTTCTGGAACATTCCATATCGATTTTAACAGTTGCACACAATTTGGAAATTTTCCAGATATTTCTAGAACTTTCTGGAACATTCCATATCGATTTTAACAGTTGCACACAATTTGTAACTTTCCCGATCATTCCAAATATTTCTAGAACTTTCTGGAACATTTCATATCGATTATANACATTTGGAACTTTCCAGATCATTCTAGATATTTCTAGAACTTTCTGGAACATTCCATATCGATTTTAACAGTTGCACACAATTTGTAACTTTCCCGATCATTCCAAATATTTCTAGAACTTTCTGGAACATTTCATATCGATTATAACAGTTGCACACATTCTAGAGTTTTCTGGATTATTTCCAAAGGGTTTCATAAGATAAGTTAGAAAAGGACAGATATATAATTTTTCACAATTTCGCCACCCATAACCACCCACTTCCACCCACAGCGACCAAACTCCCTTACTTTCACCAGGAGACCAAAGAGTATTTATTACCCCAACGGGAAGTTGATAGGAGTTGGTGGTGTTAGAGAAAACCCTGTCTTTACGTACGCACATTAGCATTATATATATATATTTAGATTAATTGAAAAAAGCAAAAAAGGTAGTATATTGGCAGAAAAGGCATAAAAAGTGACAACCGGGAAGAACAAATAAAAATCAGCATTTTTTTAACTTCCTGAAAATAAGTACTATACTTTTTGAAGTTATATGAAAAATCTAGATAAGGTGGAAACTCTAATCAATGCAAGTATAGAACAGCCCTGATAAGGATGCTGCCCGATTTACATATAGGTAGCATGTGCGAAACCCATCGGAATAATAATTCCGACCAGTATCGCATGGGTATGGTCCGTTCACTTAAAGAAAGGTACAGCGTAAGAAAACGAATTTCGGTCGTAGGCAGGTTCCCCGAATATGGACGGTCATTTACCGTCAGATTTTTCCGATCTAAATCCAAACGTAAGCCTCTGGTGACGTAAATAACTTCTAATAACAGTTACGTCGAATAAGGCAGTCCATTGATATGACATCGTGTACACTTCTCTAAGTGAACGGACCCTATTCATTCGCATCGGCATGTACGGAGCGTTTTGTAACACCGAATTTAGAAATATTGCAAAGGTTTAGATGGTGGAAGCAAAAAAAGCCACTTTACATTTAGCCCTCTTGGTGGAAATTTCGGCGGTAAGAAAAAGTGCGTACTTGTTAATCATATTCAGAGAGAACCCGGTCGGAAATTTTTAAAACACGTATAATAAATCAACAAAAAAAAAGTTAGAAGTAAGACGTGGAATCTATCTAAAAATGGTTCACAACATTCACGCGATTTATACAGAAAATATAGTTTTAAAATTCCCTGCATATTTCTTTATTCTTTTATGGTGCTCTAGGTTGGAATTAGTAAGTAAATTTATTACTTTATTATTACGAAATCATAGTTACCTACCTATTAATTCTGAGCAAATGTTGCCAAAATTAAATCGAGTCCTATAAAGATGTAGCGAAGTGTGTAAGTATTAAAATATATTGGTTTACTATGAAACGGCGTATCTAATACATAATATATAAATTATGGCTAACCAAAATTCGATTTCTACATTTTCAGAAATTATGATCTCCTAAAACGTACTGGATTTTTCTTTGTTTTATTTTAGTTAGTAGCGCTACTTATACATATATTATGCGTAATTGCCCTCTGTTTTAGCTTTGATTCAATTAGTTTGATTGATTTATGTAAGGTTTCTGAAGACGTACATTCTTCTGTATTTAAACTTTACTTTTTTACTAATCCTAAGAAAAATAAGAAAACATATTATACGCAGATAGATTTTTAAACAAAATCCAAGTAGCTGACAATTCAAAAAAATATTCAAAATAATTTTTAGGGTTCTGCACGTCCGAATGAAAAACGGAACCCTTATAAAATTACTCGTGTGTCTGTCTGTTCGTCTGTCACAGTTATTTGCTTCAAATCTACTGGACCGATTAGGTTGAAATTTAGCACACATTTGAATTTCTATGATCCAAACACGGACGCATAACGTAAATATATAAATTTTGAACATAGGGGTCATTTTTAGGGGGCTAGTAGGAAAAAAAAGTTTCACAAACTGTACCGCGTGACATATCAAATAGAACGGCATGTTGTAAGGGTCTTAAATATATTTTTTTAATAATTTTAAAATAAATAGTTTTAAAGTTATTTATGAAAATAGATCATTTCCCCCTTATCTCCGAAACCACTGAATCTAAAATTTTGAAAAAAATTCAGAAAATAGTTCTTTACTTGTAGATTTCAGGAAAATTAATATGAACTCTATGGTCTGAACATAATTACAAATCTTTCAACAAAGCAATATTATGCGTACAAATTTACATTTGCTATTTGAATGTATGGGAGGACATGTTTTTTTTTTCAATTACAATGTTAAGTAGGTTCTCGGGTTAGGGTCCGAATGAAAAACGGAATCCTTATAGGATCACTCGTGTGTCTCTCTGTTCGTTTTTTAATAATAAATAAACCACAGTCGAACGAGCGCTTGGTTTTAACGAACGAAATCTAAAGAATAAAGTTATATCTCATTTATTATATCGTATTTTTAATATTTATCTACTGATACAGCAAATGTTAATTTTTGTTGATGTTTCATTTAATTATTATGTATCAAAACAGCGATTGCGAGGCTTTAATTAAAGTTTGGTACCTAAGACAATAAGTGGTTTAGGCTAAAGTAAATTTTAATTAAAAATATTAAAAGGCTTTTTATTCCATTGAATCACATAAGCAACAATCATATTAGTAAATATTCAAAACATTTGTCCTCCTGAAGCGTTAATTTTCTTGTCGTCACTAAGCAATTTACTTGTTGCCTTTTAAACACCAAAGCAACTTCTTCTTCTATCGAAACTATCTGTAGTGGCGTACTGATGAGATCCAGAGAGATCAAAGTCACAATCCCCGTCTGATGGTTTTGGTAGAGATCACTCACCATGAACTTTTTTTTAATAAGTTACTTTTAGTTTGCATTCAATGAACAATTTTTTAAAATGTTTCACAATGAACTACAGCAGAATTTACTAGAACTTCTAAATTAAGTTCATTAGAAGCATAAGAGATAGAAATAACTAACAAACAGAGGTAAACAATTTATCATGGTTAATTTTTTTTCAACTTCGACTCACTCCCTCAACAGTTTAGAAATCCAAAAACGTTTTTTGTTGAATTAATTAATACTCACTTCTGAAGAAGCCAGATATAGTGAAACTGTATTGCTAAATTTATTTAATAGAAATTGTTATCAGTGTTTCACTTCATATTACCGTAAGGTACATACCTAGTGGAAGATGTATCACTCCATTCCTTAGAGTGTTTAATTGAAGGTTGACTAATACATCCATTATCATCATCATAAAGTCGTCAGTCCTAAGACTGGTTGGACACGTACCTCCACCCTTTCCTATCCTGAGCTAAACTTCGCATTTCCCTAAAACTAGAACAACCCACATCCTTAAGTATTTGCGAACAGTAATCTAATCTAGGTCTACTTCTACCCCTCCTAACTCCCGTTAGTGCCTTTAATATGTCTCTGACTAGATCTTTATGCCTGAAAAGGTGTCATACTAACCTATCTCGCCTATTTCTTATTGACTTCCATAGAGTCCTCTGTTCTCCTATTCTTTGTAATACCTCTTTGTTTCTAACCTTTTCTATCCACGTTATCCTTATCATTCGCCTATAACACCACATTTCGAACGCTTCTAACCTCTTTTTTTCCACTGCGCCCATTGTCCATGCTTCGCACCCGTACAACGCCGCGCTCCAAACATACACCTTTAACCTTTTTTGAATTTCTAAATTAACTGTTCGCGATCACAGAAGTGACTTCCTTTTATTAAAGGCGACACGACCCTGCGCTGTCCTCTGCTTTATATCCCTACTACTCCTTCCGTCGTGATTTATCTAGATATATAAAATCAGCCACTTCTTCTAATTTTTCGTGTCCTATCTTTACATTCGCTCTTTCCCTACTTTTCCTTTCCTTGCATACCAGTATTTTAGTTTTACTTTTATTTATTTTCATACAGTACTGTTTTGTCAGTACCGCTTCCATTTTATTTAAAGCTACCTCTAAG